TTTTTTTGAAATGTAACTACAAGAAATCATTTGGCAGCTAATATTTTGGCAAGCTGAAACATTTTTGAAAATATGATAGCAGGAAATTTGCCATAATAGTTTTGATATATTTGTTTACACTCTGTTTATTGGTCATTAGTAGAGAGAAGTCCATTAATTAAGAAGAGATAATTTTATGAAAGCAAATGAAATTCATCCCTCTTATGCTTCTCCTTTCACCGTGAAATGCAAATCATTATTTGATGAAGATTGATTTAGTTTGAAGTATTTTGAATCTTCACTTTATATTTCAATAAAACACATTATAAAGACAACATTTTATTTGCTAATCATTGATAGCAAGCAAAATATTCTGAAGCTATCATTCAGTGAATTTAAAATTTTTGTCTTATGAATATAAATGATTGATAAAACTGAAACTAAATGACACATGAAAAATGAAAATAAAAATGATGAGAAAGAAAGAGTTTAATGCATTTTTGATGAAATAATTGTGAAATTATTATTTTCCGAACATTCATTTATTTATAATTTATTTTTTTTTTTGTTGTTGTTGTTGTTTTGTTTAAATAAAAACTTTCAGATTTGATATTTACCAACTTAACCATAATATATTGTCGAGAAAAAAAAAATACACAAACTTATTTGGAAAGCTTTTTTTTCTGAAAAAATTAATAGCAAAATTGATCGATTAATTAGAAGAAATTATAGATTATTTAAGCTTAAATACTTCAAAATCATACAATTTAAATTCTTTTTTCTTTCATTTAATCTCTTTCAAGTTCAATTACTTCATTGTATTAAAATCTTTCATATATGGAGAGACGTTGAGATTTAACATTAAGCTATTTTATTAAAAATTAAATCTCTTCTTTTCATTTTCCAATCACAATACTTGAAATGGAAAGATATGATGGATTAATTTATGTATTGTATATTCCTTCAAGACAGTACTGTTTACTTGTAACATTTTCGAAATAATTTCCAATGCTAAAAGTATAAATTTGCTCATGCATACAATATGTGCATGTCATATAAAAGGCGTGCTAACAATAATGAATTGTTAAGAAAAATTAATTTGAATAATAAATGCAAAATGTCATTTTAAATTTGTAACGCTTAATGCTTCTATTACATTTATTAGCTTTTACTAAAAATAATAATAATATATGCTCTTATTATCATTATTACTTTTGCTGGAAAATTTTCAGAATGCATCTTTAATTTGCTTACTTTAATGCGATAAATTCTAAATTAAATTTTAAAAAAAGAGACTATTTAGTTTAAATGAAATTATGGTGCTAATTTTGTTTTATCTAAATTGCAAGCTTATTTATTCAAAACAATCTACAAAAAATGTTTGTAAATAGCAGAAAAAATTTCTTTGTCCGTTTCAATTAGCAAATAAACAATTAGAATTCATTATTATTATTATTATTCAAGAAAAAAAAAATTGAAAAATTGCAGCAAATCGTATCACACGTGTATCGTCCTGTTTTGCTTACTGGCACCATCACGGTGAAACATACGGAATTAATGTAGTTTCGGCTGATGATTGTGATCGATTCTACAGATTGATCAAAAGTTATTATGAAACGTCAAATTGCACTTTACGTGATATCAATCCCACGTCATCGACGTCATCATCTGTTCAGGCAATTGTCATTCCGGCTTATATAACGCAAATTTTTGACATTGATAAAGGTATCATCAACAATCGCAATGGTTCATTTATGGAATGCATAATTAAGCTTACCCAAAACGGAGCTTCAATTCGTTTTAAAGGCATGGATTTCTCACTTAATTTGGTATGCATTCATTTCATTTCAAATTTTTTTTTTCTAAAATTTTCAACTTGTTTTTTGACAAATTTTCAAAAATTTTTCAATAAAAGAAGAAATCTTCTTTTAAAATATTTTCTATAAGTGCTAAAGATATTTCAAAAGCCTATAATATCATTATAATTATTTAGGCACGATATTAAATAGAATTTTTGATGAAATATTTCATTACTTCATAAAATAATTTCGTACTATTTAGTCTATACTTCACTCAAATTTGCAAAGTTTAAAATTTTTTGCAGTTAAATTTTCCATTTCAGCAGTATTCATTACATTATTCATTTTTAATGTCGAACATGCTCGGTGTAATTTTGCACGTAAAAAATAATAGAAATTTTTTTTTTCACATAAATATTATGAGAAAAGTAATAACCGAAAATTATTTTTTCCACTTAAAATTAATGAATAATCGAAATAGCTGAGCATTTTTTCAGAAAATAATGTTTAAGGTTGAATTTTTATTGGATTATAATTTATTTCCATTTTCTTTTTTCAAAAATAATATTTTTCCGAGAAAAAATCTATTGTCGTTTTTGAAAGGGAAAGAAATTTATTTGCAGGAATAATTTGATAAATATTGGTAATATTTCTAACATTTATGAATAATTTATTTATGAATAAAATTTTAATCAACTGCATTTTTTCGAAATCGAATAGACTATATAAAAAATGATTTGATGAAAAAATCGTACCTTTCATTTTTTTTTTTTTACACCGTTATAATTAAGAAAACTTGTTTTGTTTTCGAATTTCTTTAGTTCGTAGTTAAATTTTTTTTTTTTTTTGCTAAAGAAAAGATTAACCACTTAAAAATCAAATTTCACGAACTATTCATTTATTTCTGTTTGAATATTTCAAAAAAAAAACGGAATTTATGTATGATTAATGATGTATAACTCATCAATTCATTCTTCAAATTTTCTTTTTCATTCATAGTTCTCTAAATGTTGCAACAATTTTCTAAGCTTAATTCTCATTGAAATTTTTATTCAATAGCTTCTTAATTATACTATATGATAGCCTTGTGCAGTTATAATTTTGCATTAATTAAAATAGCATTCTTATTAAATGAGGAGCATTAAATGAGAAGCTCTTCGTTGCTCAATCAGTGATGCACAGTAAATATCGATCGAAGATAATAATTTTATAATTCCAATATGCTTTTACAAAATTGAATTAAAATATCAGAAAATTTTGCGAAATGTTATTTAAATATATAGTAAAAAAAATATGATATTTCAAATTTTTATTCGCATCATATTTAATCATTATTTTTACACTGTAATCAGTAATATTATCATTTACCCTTAATAGATAATATTATTAAGACTATCATTAATAATATAGCGATGATGTTGGTGATATTTCGATCATACGTGTATACTAAAATATTTAATAATGCCAACATTTATTTCAACTTCAGTACACATCCATAAAATTTAATTAAACTTTCATCTAATTAGCGGAATAATAAATAAAGCATTGTATTGTAGAAACTACACCGGTAATGCACATAATACCTCATGCAAATGCGAAAATATCGTAAACAAATAGGCTAACATCAATCGAATAATAAAGGAAGACCAACGGTCATACTGGTCAGTAAATGTATAATTAGGGAGAAGTGAAATTTTTGGACATAAAATATGAATGACATCGTAAATGGTTCAATTACGAAAATAAAGTTATCAGAAAGAAGATGGGACAAAATTACAATAAATTTTAGAATTTTATTCACACAAAATAACGATTAATGCTAAAATGATAATGCTCTTTAATTGTTTTAATTGTTGAAATTTTTTAAACTAAGCATTGAAATATTTCATGAATTATTTTTGGCACATTGTTTTCAGAAATGATTTCAAATTTGCTAGGATATTTACAAAAATTTTTTTAATGAAATTCATTTTAATTTTATTTAACTTTTAAGTCAAATTTTTTTTTTTTTTTGAACATCAATATATCAAATATTGTATAACATTAACTAACAGATTGGCAATTCTTATCTCTAATTTCCATATCTTTTTTCCCATCTCTATTGCTCATATTAATAAATGATCACAATTGGCTAATATATTCATTTGCTACCGCTAATGCAAATCCGCTAATCGGTCCATTAAGAAAAAAAAATCAAAAGAAAAATTGCATATAAGAAGGGCAGCCAAATAAGAAAAAATTAATCATTACAACCGAAATAGCTTCATATACCGTTAAAAAAAAAAAAAAAACAAAAATATTATTGCATTTGTTCAAGATCAAAATCAAATTATGCAAATTTGTTGATGAGAATGTTCATAATTTGCTTCAAAAATTTATTCTACAATTAGAATTTTGTTTGTTAAGATAATTTATTTTGCATAAACATTTACAGATAATAATTGCTTATCATGATGATACAGTTCATGATAATAATTTGCAGTTGGAAAGCGTTATGGTTGTTGGTGAAATAAAGGAACGCTTGTATATATCCGAACCGACCGGTGCCTTTGCTATTCAATGTTCCAATTCACGAACTTTGCGCTTTCTATTAATTAAACTGTTGACAATTTCATCATTCCTACAATCTGGCACCACTAATATTTCCAATGCCATACATTATTTACAGAAAGAAATTTCGAAAGTTAATGAAACGATTAATTTGGTATATTTCTCTTTTCATTACATTTATTTATCAGAAGCAGAAGAATTGAATGCTAATACCTACTTGATATAATTAATTGTATCGACGAAAATTATCAGATATCATCATCGGTTATGATGTTCAGTATTCACTTCATTACCTATATTTATCAACTATCCACAACATATTTATTATTCATTTTATTATTAAACCATTATTTACTATAATAT